AGGTGAGATAATGGGAGATAGAATGAAAGTACCTACTTCTGCCAATATTAGAAGTGGCCGAACGCTGACTTCGATTCTTGGTGCTCTCGGGCCCACCGACCTCAGCTGACATGCGATAGATGTTCGTATCAATCTTCTCGCCGTACTCGTCCCACTGAACCTATCGCAACAAAGACAACCGCAATAGCCAGGACGGAAATACTCGATCGCAAATCATTGTGGGAGAACAGAGAACGTACAACCCGCTCAGTGACAGGAAAGACCGGTTGAGTCCGCTTAGTGGAGCGAAAAAATTGTCCGCCAGAGTGGAGTTGAGCACCCGGAAAAATGTCATAACAGGCCATGTGGCGACCATGAGTGAGTGATCCACTATTGCTTGGAAGGAGACTATATGGTTGGTTGTAGAAGACATTGCCGCCTAAACCACCGCCAGGTGTAGATGAGGATACATGTGGCTGACCAGCACTGATTTCATCATCTTCGTCCTCGGTGTCATCTTCGCTGTTGTCGAGTTCATCAATTGGGTCAAAAACCTCCGATTTACTGACTGAATAGAAGGGAATAAGTAGTCTTTGCGGTCAAGGTCTTCCACTGCATCTATTCACTGGAAACCCTCAACATTAAAAGATGTTGATGTTCGTCCATCGAAATTACAAATGTTCGTGAATATGTTCACCGTAAACAGAGAAAGCATAGGCACTCGTGCGAGTTCATAACAGCCACAATCTAGATTATAAGTGATAGGCATACACCATTTCAACGTCCGGCTGCCAAAGTGATGAGGGCTTAAGCAACGTGCTGGATTTAATGAAACTGGTAGATGTCTAAAGATATAGCTCTTACGCCTTCATTCATTAGAAAATTTATTGCCATATGCTACTTTACGCAAGTATTCACTGTCACCGAGGTTTTCTACCTTGATTGACGATGTCTGAACCGCAGCACGAAATGCCCCTCGGTTGTAACGGGCAATGCACGATTGGCACTTGGCTCGGTGAATTCCCACCCCTCTACCATGCCTTGGTAATTAAGAGCTCCAGCTTAAATGAAAAATCCCATGTAAATCATGCAATAGTACAGGTTTGAAGCTGATTATTTATCAACTCTTTTTACTACCGAATTCGCAAAATAGAAGACTGTTCTAGCTGCAAATACGGCGATCATTGGATTCATTCAAGTTGCCAAAGACTAGATCTTACACGATTTCATCGTCATAAAAGCCTAGCTATCTGTCAGAACGATAAATTATTGGCAAATATACAATTGAAACTTGAATTCAAGCTTAAAACTCACAGTTACGAAATTGGTTTGCAGCTCCGGTGCTGGAGCCCTTCGACTGAGCTAATGTCGTCTCCACAACTGAAGACCGCCCTGGTCCAGCCTCGGAACTTCCTTTTTCTCCTTCTACCTCTCTTGCACCAGTGTCCTCGATAACAGGCACACGTTGAGAAAGATCAAGAGGTATGAGGAGGGTGTCGGCAGCTGCGATAGCAAGGCCTTCACGTGCCCATTTCTCCCCTCGACTCAGGCCAATGAGACGTCGAGCCAAGGAGACGTCAGGTTCATTTGATTGCTGCTTCTGAAGGAGGGTAAAGAGATCACTTGCTTCGCGAAAGTCACCGTCCCTGGAGGTGATAACCACTGAGTTCAACTCGTTGTCTGCCCAGTCGGCAAAGAGGAGACGAGCAAATCCTGTTCGCAGGCCCGCATCAGTGGCCAGGATGACCTAAAATTTCCAGAAATTGAATGAGCTCAAATAGGTACAGTTATCGCCCTCCAACAGTAGATCCAGAAAATCGGCATTTATTTTTGTCCTCGGTTAGTATAATATTTACTTTCCACTTGATTCGCTGCATTTCATCTCTTCTGTTGATTCAAAGTATGGGGTCGGACAAAATAAAAGGGTGGTAGAGTAAAAAATGGAGAAGCGAATTCATTATGACGTCACCTAGATTGCCGATAACTCTGATCTACTTGGCAATCCCTTATAGGTCAATATTTATTATTTAAATTCAGTTTCATTAAAGCCTAAACCCGTGGAAACACATTCCTGTTGTCAGAGAGTCGGTCCAGGACGTGTGATTTCGAAAATCTGATGTCCAAAAGTCAAAAGACCTACACTACCAAATATCTCAGCCTCAGTTATCAATAAGGGAAGTACCACTTAGCCACGGTGAGAAATGATTTGAGGCGGGTCTATGCTACTCTGTATGTGAGTAAGTCCTTAACTGTTATTCACACCTTTATGGAACTCTAACGGTTTAACCAAGTGAGTTTCGTGGATGATCAAACACCCATTGCGGAGGTGTGAGTAGACGTAACATACGACAATGAGATTCAATTGTGTGATGGGTGGAGACTGATAAGCGGAAAAAATAAGAGGAAAGGCAAATAGACTCCTGCTAAATTGATACATCCTAATGCCACATAAAAAGTACAGCCAACTAAAGGTATCAGAAAATACTGGACGGATAAACGCGTTAAGTGGCAAAGACACGAAGGATAACTCGAAACCAACTTTACACTGTGAAAAGAATGCATAGAAGGAAGTAAAGCAATCAATACTTGTGCGACCAATCAGCGTGAGGTGAAGGAAGAGCTTATGAAAGTCTGACAATGGGTGAAAATGTAAAAATGGCACTTAAAATCTGACTAGCCGATTGAAGTCAACCTAAATGCTGGTATTCCAACCAAACTAACCAAAAAATAATTGACGATGTTGAAAAGTATTGTTGCTATCATGCAGTGAAAAAAGGTGTGCGTTTGTTGGTACAAACATGACATTCTATGAATCTATCACCCTACCAGGATGACAAGACGCAGAGGAATGGCTGTGGTGTAGAACCAGGCCAACGACCGTTAAGTCAAATCAAGCGAGGGAAGGGAGTGGGAACACCTCATAAAATTTTGGAAACAAAGGTAAGGCAATTAACTAGATCCTTAAATAATGCTAGTAGATGTCAACGCGTTCCGACTCGATTTGAGCTGATCGCATTATCAGCTGGGATAAACAGTTAAAACCACTCCTAACCACAAGGCAACCAAAGAACTTTACAACATAATCGTAATCAAGATTAAGTGATTGCGAAATGCTTCTTAGATGAATTGCGCCAGTAAAATCCCCATAATAATTTACTCCCTCCCCCTTTTCAATGAGACAATAAATGCGAAGTCTACTTATGCAAAAAAAGTTTCCTCTAAAAGACAGGGAAGACAAGCCTGTTCGCCTCCATTTCTATCACGCTTATTTCCAAACCATCTCGCACGCGACTATTTAGTATCGAGAAAATATGGTAATCACCTGTGCACGTTAATGTTGGAACGCGTCGAGTAGAAATCTCAGGCATATTGGTTGGCCCTATAGCAAATAGACGCTTAGCCTATAGTACTTCATACAAAGCGAACCGATTGATAACCAATGTCATGATTCTCCCCTTTAACTTTGCATTTTAAATGTGCAAAATCCAATTTTCATCACAAACCATCCAGTCAGTCAGCAAATAAACCAAAAACGAAGCGTCTTAATGACGCGCACACGGAGGCAATTGAGAGCAAACTGACGACCTTACAAGCCTAATGACAACTGCCAGTGCATTCAGCGTCCAAGTGGTGGGCAGATCCAACAATCTCTTCTCTTCATTCCAGAGAGCAAAATGCTCGTTATGATAAACCCAAAATAATGTGCTAAAAATACCAAGGAGAGTAATCTCTTATACATTCGGTCCAACTACTTCTGAGCACCGTAGAAAAAGCGGTATGAGAAGTTCCTGTAATCTTAAACCAAATCAAAGCCAGGTTGTAGAGCCGATAAAATAAAATCTCAATGAGCAACAGCCTAGTCAAGTGAATACGATGGCATGTTAACTAATGCATCGAAAATAAACAGATTCACTCAACTGATGATAAACTCGAGATCGCAATAGTGGTACAATAAAGACAAATCAAAGCAGTAAAACTACAGACCCCGCACTGATTAGTTTAAAGATTGAAAACCTTATTTTGAGATAACGAAGACCAGAATAATTCATAATTGTGGAGTTCCTAATAGAGATAATCTCCACTTTCATCAGAACCTTCCCTGTTCAACACCAAAATCTTACAAGCATTGGATAGCTTTGTAAAAAAATTATCAAGGAAGCATGAAATTCACCTTTGGATTAGATACACAATCCAGTTGGTCA